GAGACTAAGGCAGGAAAATGGCTTGAGCCCAGGAGTTTGAGGTTGCAATGAGTTATGATCATGCCACAGCACTCCAGCCTGAGTGACAGAGCGAGACCCCATCTCTTAAAAAAAAAAGATAAACACACATTGTTAAAAAAGAAACATAAAAAGGAATGCAATATATTTTATAAAGATATCAACCAGAATAACTGAATTTTTAAAAAGTAAATTTTAACATTTTAATCATTAACCCACAAAACTAATTCCCCAGAGGGTCTCAGGTAGATGGTTTTACTATGCTCAAAGCCAATTGTGTGGGATGCAATCATCAGTGACAGACCATTACTACCAAAACAAATGATTAATAGACATGCAGCTAGAATACAACTAAGAATAAACTTACTGAAGTATATGTTTAATTTGAGCTCTAGATTCACATTTCTAATGACCTGGGAGGTAGCACAGTATAGAAGACTCAGGCTTAGGTTTAGACATACTCTCATTCAAGTCTCAGCTCTGCTAATTATTAGCTAGGTAACGTTGGACATATGAGCAAAAGCATGGCAGGTAAGTGTTACATAAATAGTAGCTGCCATCATCTTGACCATCACATCATTTCTATTACTGATGTCCTTCTGATAATGTGCATGTTATATTCAAGGAATGATGAACACATATCTGAAGTTTAAATGATACAAACTTAAGTAAATTCAATCCATATGCTGAGCACCTATTTATGAGTCAGAAAGTTATTATAGGAATTGAGTCTGCAAAGGCAGACTGAAGCAAATTCTCCCCCAAATGAAATCCTTATCATGTCATCATATTTCTCCAACATTAAAGACACCAGTATCCTCCCAGGTGCTTAGACATTAAGCATTCTCGTCTTACCCCTCTCCATCAGCCTCCATATTTGGGCTCTTGTATCTGTTAGCCTGCTTCTCTAATTCCTACAACCACCTGGCCAGATACTCATTACTCCTGAACCTCAACTACTGCAACAGCCTTTTACTTCATGTTCCTATTTTCAATTTGTTCCCATCTACCTACTATACTACTCCCAGATTGATTTTCTTCAAGGAAAACTCTGTTCATACCACCTTCCTGCTCAAAAGTTTCAGATAACTCCCCTCTGACTATCAACTTACGTCTAAACTTCTTGATTCCACATTTAGGCCTGGTCATAATATAATCCTCAACAAAGTTTTCCAGCATTAACAGTTAATTCTTCAACATATCCTTTACACTCTGGCCTCTGTCTTAAGTCTATGGAATTATTATGTTTTTCTTATTTTTTTAAAAAGGTCTTTGGATCTCTTCTGATTACTAAAGTGATACACGGTTATTATATAAAGTCCAAACATTACAGAAATTTATAGACTTGACAGTAACTCATTATCCCACCCCTGAGAATTAACCACTGCTAACACTTAAGATAGGTGTAGATTTCAATGTGCTTGTGTGTGTATATATATATTTATTAATATAAATGGCATCATGTTCTTCTTTAAAAAGCCTTTTTCACTAGGCAATGTATTGATGTATTTTGGACATACATTTTCATGTTAATAGAGAGCTTTCTCCAGCTTTTTAATAACTACTAAGTATTCCTTTGCATGTACTGACAATTTTATTTACCCACTTTTTTAATGTTATACATTTGAGTTATTTACGGTCTTTGCCATTTCAAATAATCCTACAGTGAATATTCTTGTGTATTTGTCATTTGTATAGGATAAGTTCCTAGAAATTGAATAGTTAAGTTAAAAATACGCACGTTTAAAATTTTGACAGATGATTCCAGGTTGCTCTCTGAAAAGGATATGCCAATTTACTCTCCCACTTAAATTCAGAGATTTTATCTCTTCACACTTTCACTATCAACGGGTATTCAGTTATCTTTAATCTCTGCTGATCTAATAAATGATATCAAAATGTTTTAATTTGTATTTCTTTTTAACTTGTAAAGAAAAAATTATTTCTCACAGTTCTGGAGGCTGGGAAGTCCAATGTCAAGATGCTGGCATCTGGTGAGGGCCTTCTTGCTGTGTCATCCCACGGTGGAAGGGGAGAGTTGATTTATATTTCTTTAACTATTAGTGAAATTAAATCTCTCTTCATATGTGCATTGACTGTTTGCATTTTGTGATTGCCTGTTCGTGTGCTAAGCCCATTTTTCTACTGGGTGATGGCCTTCTTCTTTTAAGATCTCTTCTAAAATTAGAAATTTTAATATTATCATCTGTGCTACAAATGATTTTGCAAGATCTTTTGTCTTTTATGGAAAATAAGGCTCCTCTTTTTGAAAAAACTATGAAATCAAAAATACCTTTTCCACTGTAAGGAAATGAACTTTTGATTAAAGAGAAACTATAATAAGAAGTAAGCACTTGGGTCTTTATTATTTAGGTAATTACTTCTGCTTCAGAGTATTTATAATACCTTAGGAGCTACAAAGCCGGCTAGCTGGAATAGTTAAGCTATGAAGGATGATCTGAATTCAGATCATACTTTCTTATACTTTATTCTTTCTCGTGGGTTAAATCTTCCCTGATACCTGGGTAAATTCAATAACAAATCTAAGGTGTGCTAGGGAGACTGTAAATTAATTTCAGAGTTCACAGGA